TTCTTTCATTCTCAATTCTCATTCCTGTTCTCTCAATTTCTCTTGACATTGGTTTTCCCGTACAGCACTGACAATCTAGTCTAGCGTACGGAGCGGACCTCAGTTGGCGGACAACAACTGCACTGACATCAGTTGCTTAGCCTTACGTCGCCCTTCCAAGGAATCTCAGGAAGGCGCCGCGTAACAGTANCATTGGTTTTCCCGTACAGCACTGACAATCTAGTCTAGCGTACGGAGCGGACCTCAGTTGGCGGACAACAACTGCACTGACATCAGTTGCTTAGCCTTACGTCGCCCTTCCAAGGAATCTTAGGAAGGCGCCGCGTAACAGATTGGATGTGGCAACATTAGCGGAGTCAAGTTTGGCTAGGAGGCGACGGGGAAGCTGAATTTCATCCGAAGAGATTTTTCCAGAAATTGTCTCCTTGAATGTCTCCATATTTTCTACCCAATTAGAAGGAAATCTGAAGAAAATTGTTCAAAGGTAATCTGCCTCGCTTGAAACCAAATCTGTCTCAACAGAACCAGAAGGGATTTATGTTGCGGACAGCCACCAAGAGAGAGAAAGCTCGACTTCTTTGATAAAAACAGAACCCTAGTGCTGCGAGGGAGATAGCTCGCCACAAAAAGGCAGCAAGGGCTTTGATACTATGTAGATTTTGAGAAGAAGAAAAGTCTTCTTTTTTTCCCGTGTTTACATCCCATGAGCAAGGGAATTTATACGAAGCTCCTAATGCTAATTAAAGAAATAAAATAAATCTATACAATCAATCCAGCTATCAAATCATATTAAATAAAATCAGATCTCCTAAATATAATCAAATCTCCTAAAATCATGCTAATCAACACTCCTAAATCAAGTCTCCTTGAATCATGCTGATCAACAGATACTCAAATGCTGACTGGGAAGGATCACCTTTTGATAGACGTTCTACTTTTGGATATTATGATGTAGTGGGAGGAAATTTGGTGTCTTAGAAGAGCAAGAAACAAAATGTGGTTGCTCGGTCTAGTGCAGAAGCAGAATATCGAGCAGCGGCCGTGGCAACATGTGAGCTAGTTTGGATCAAACATTTTCTCAAGGAGTTGAAACTTGGTGAGACCAGCAAGATGAAACTTGTGTGAGATAATCAAACTGCCCTTCATATTGCATCAAATCCAGTGTTCCATGAGAGAACTAAACACATTGAGATTGATTGTCACTTTGTCAGAGAAAAAATACTCTCAGGATATATTACTACAAAGTTTGTGAAGTCGAATGATTAGCTTGCCGATATTTTCACCAAATCCCTCACTGGTACCCGTATTAGTTACATAGGTAACAAGCTCGGTAAATATGATTTGTATGCACCAGCTTGAGGAGTAGTGTTAGATAATTATTTAAATAACCCTAGTCCCACATGGAATAGGAGTAGAATAAGTATTATGTATAGTTATAAATAGCGCTATTGTAAAACACTTAATAGAAGATCAATAATAGATTTTTCCCATACATTTTTACATCCTCTATGTTCTCCTTGCATGACACGGTAACAAAATACCTTGTAGTCACCCCGTCCATGCCATCAACTGTTTAATTGCCGTCATCATTTACAAGGTGTTAGTTGAAACGCTTGAATCTCTTTATGAATCTTCTCAAATCCATAAAGGGTAGATGACGAGAGAGCACCTTTTCGTGGGAGTAGTTATTGTTAAGATCTTAGGGAGGAAATGTTGTAGGAATGGTCATTGGTAAGATGTCATATCTGATAAACAATTCTGATGATGCAAGTGTTTAGATAAGTCTGGGAGGCAATACGTGTTGGACGAATGAGAAGCAGAGCTGTGATTTTCTGCCTATTATTTCCTTGCTTCTGCTCCTTATTCTTGTTATTTATTATGTGTCAATATTTTTCAGGGAGTTGCTAGTCTCTATTAAATTTGCTAAACCTGGATGGCAATGGTCCGGTTGCTTCTTGCCAGAACATCTAGGTGATATTCAGGTGAAAATGCGAAATTTTCTCTCTGGTGCCGTGAACATGATACGTGTGGAAGTTTAGACTGCTGATGTCTCTATTAGAGATGATAAAATTGTTGGGAGCCCTCATGGTCAGTCGGGGACAAACTTGATTCTTGTGTCTTAAGATGATACTGGCTTTATGCCATACCGTATTGACAATTTCTCCCAGGAGGTATATCCTTTTGTGCAAGACAGTAGTTTTTGACCTTCTATTAGCCACAGCTAGATGGGTAAAATTATTCTCTAGGATTTTGGTTACCGTAAAAGTCTTGCTTTAAAGTCATCTCCAATTTTTTCACCGTTGCCACCCTATTTATGTGACATATTTGATTGGGATGCAGATATAGACTTCATTTCTGAGTGACGTAGGATACTAGTAGCATATGTGAACAAATACAAGGTTGGAAAAGGACATTAATACCACGAGACAATAATAAGTGTCTAAAACAAGGGAACTATTCTAGTATATTTTGAGTTTTGACAAATTTTTGTAGCAAATTCTTACAAAGATGTAAGCTACCAGAAAGGAAAACATTTGACACAGATCTGTTTTGAGAACAATGGATTAAGTTATTCAAGTAAAAAGAGAATAAAATATCTAAATGTCTACTTAATGCCACTGAGTATGCTCGTTCTATAAAGGTGAACTGGCGATTTTCATCTCCAATTTGCAACCCGCATTAATGTCCATGTTTTCCTTAATTAGAAAATTTTAACATCTATATTCACATTAAGTTAGTAAAAATGTGATTCCAATTATGTCATGATTGCTATGCCATCTCGTCTAAAAGTTTATGCTGTTGAGGAGACGAGCGAATACACTATTTATTTAATTGGGTTTTCAATATGGTTTCCTACATCTGAAAAATTCACTTTATGTGTGTACCTCTTTGATAATAAACGGAACTCAGTGCTGCTCAAAAAGGCAACAATGGCTCTGATACCATGTAGATTTGAGAAGAAGAAAAGGCTTCGTGTAAACTTTACATTGCATGAGCAAGGGGATTTATACAAAGCTCTTAATGCTAATTAAGGAAATAAAATAAATCTATACAATCAGTCTTGCTATCAAATCAAATCAAATAAAAATAAAATCCCCTAAAATGTAACCAAATCTTTTGAAATCATGCTAATCAACAATCTCCTAAATATAATCAAATCTCTTATATCATGCTAACCAACACTAATGTTACGAGCCTTGCTCATTCCACAGAATTTCGACTAGCATAACAAATGTCTGATTTTCAACTTAGTTGTTGATCTTTGGCTAATTCACCCTTTCCCTTCTTTGCCTATTCAAGAGGCTACGTGTTTACCAACAAAGGTGCGAAACTTTTGAAACTATGGTCCATTCCTACACTTCTTGCCCTTATGCATGGGATGAACCCTGCTATCCTCATCGTCTCACTATTGAGGTATGTTTTGCTATATTTAAAGCCGAATGATTATTTCACGTTTTTCTGTTGGTAAGGTTTTTCTCTAGATTTTGCAGGTTTTGGGTGAACGTGTTATAGGATCATATGCTCTGGATGACGTGAAAGACTATGCACCTGTATACCTATCTGTGACTCCCAAGGTACTTCGCTTTCTCTAATTCAGTTTGTAATGTTTAAGTGGAGCTTGTATTCACAATAGTTCTTTTTGTACTTCACAAGAATCATGTTCTTGTTATTGGTGTAGCTTGGTTCTTGCTGTTGATATTTTTGATTTGTAATTTTAAATAGAAAATATCTAAAGTGCGTGGTAGAGTTAATAATTCTAAAATAATGTTACCTTAAATTTCACTTCCTACTCTCAGAACTAGTTTGACGAATATACACCAATAACCTAATTCGGTCAGAAATATTTGCTCATCACAAAAGGCCATCAAATGGAGGTGCCATGGTGTATGTTATTTGCAGATGACATTGTACTGATTGATGATACGAGAGGTGGTGTTAACGAGAAGTTGGAGGTTTGGTTACATACTCTAGAGTCTAAAGGTTTCAATTTGAGTAGGACTAAGACAGAATACTTGGAGTGCAGGTTCAGCAACATGACGGAGGAAACAGACATCGACGTGAGGCTTGATTCACAAGTCATCCTAAGTGAGGAAAGTTTAAGTATCTTGGGTCTGTAATCCAAGGGAATGAGGAGGTTCACGAGGATGTCACACATCACATCGGAGAGGTGGATGAAATGGAGGCTCCGGTGTCTTGTGTGATAAAAGTGTGCCACCGAAACTCAAATCTGATACCGTGAAGATTTTAAGAAGAAAAGTCTTCTTATATTCTTATGTGTATATTTACATCCCAAAAATAACTACTTATACAAGGTTCCTATGACTAATTAGGGAAAGAGAATAAAAGCAAATAAACTCAAGTTATAACTGTTACATTGATTTGGGAAACAATATTCCTAGAATCAGGCCTAAAATTCCTTCTACAATCAACACTAACACATTACATGATGAGGTACTATGGCATATATTGTTGATTTCCCACATCGATGGGTGATGGTTTATTTGGTCTTCTTATATAGTCTTGGCCGATCCTCACCTCATACGCTAGCTTTTGGTGTCGTGTTAGGCCCAAAATCTATTTCTTTTCATGGTATTAGAGTAGGCCCATCCCAATGGATGAGATTGTCACACACTTCAACATATATTATTCACCAACGATATTGTGCTAATTGACAACAACAACAAAGTGTCAACCAAGAGCTTGAATTGTGGAGAAGCACTCTAGAGAGCGAGTTCTTGGATAAGTGAAAGTAAGGTTTAATATGTACCCTACAAGTTTAACAGCATAAGAAGAGTGAAATTGTGGTGAGACTAGATTGGAAACAATTCAAATACATAGGCTTGATGTCATAGAACAATTGTATGATAGATGAAGATATCACAGAGAATCAAAATAGGATTGTTAAAATAGAGAAGTGTATACCGGAGTGTTATATGATAGAAGGATACCTGCCAAAGCGAAAGGCAAGTTCTACTGCAACAGTTGTAAGATCAACAATATTATATGAGAGTGAATGTTGGGCTTCCAAAGTCCACCATATCCACAATATGAGTGTCAACTAAAGATACATATGCTAAGATTGATGATTGATCTTAGAAAATTAGAAAAGATTAAAATGACCACGCTCAGCAAAAGGTGCAAATATCACTAGTTAAATATAAAATAAGGGAAGGTTACTTGAAATGGTTTGATCGTATCCTGCGTAGACCTCCAGATGCACAATTCTTAGGTTTGGAACCATAGTAAGTGAAGGTGTTCCAGGGTACGATGTAGACCTAAAATTACACGAAAGGAAGTTGTCTTGAAAGACCTACAATCTTGTACTGATCTAGAACATATACTGCTTTGTGCGTTTTTATGTTGCTTTCATCTAGTAGTGCTTTCCTTAAGTTTAATAACCTAACCATTCCTTTTTTTTTAAAAAGTAAGTTCCCTTACCATTCTCTTTATTTTAATCACAATTTGCTCTTTATTATATTGTATATGAGACCGTAAGTAACATTTCTCCAATCATTTATATGATAATCTTGTTACCGTGCTTACACATATGCCTTCTGCTTACCTTTTTCAGAAACCTCAAAGAACTCTTATTGTTTCTGTCCATTCTGAAGGAGCAGTCAAGGTGCATTGATGATGCTTCAAAAGTCACGTACCATCTTTCTTTTGCTTTCTCTTTTGTAGTGACAGTTTATATTTTCCAAATACAGATTCTGAGCATCATTGATTCCAATTGCCATGTATTGAGTGGTATGAAGAGTCCACACATCTCTCAGTCCAAAGATAGAAATAAACATGTATTGAAGTATGAAAATTCTTCTGACTGCAAAGAGAGAATATTGGTGGACATTCCCTATGTTGGCATCTCTCTAATAAGCTCTATGCCAGAGGTACCTTCAATTGTTGTAATCGAAGATTATTAAATTGCAAGCTTCAATGCAAAATTCTTTTGAGTTGTCATACTACTACATTTCTTTTGCAGGAACTGATTTTCGCTTGTGCAAGAGACATTACAGTTGATTTCACGCAGAGTGTAGATCAACAGAGATTCTCTTTTCAAATCACCTCTTTGCAAATTGATAACCAGTTAGCATGTACACCTTACCCTGTTATCTTATCATTTGACGTTAGTAAGACGATTACTCGTGGAGTAAGGACAGATCCGGAGAGCTCATGGGAACCGGTACTTTCATTGGTGGTGACGAAGTGGAATAATAGATATCTGTCACTAGTCTCCTTCGAGTACATAAGTCTAAGGTCTGTAACTGCTTCCTTTCAAATGTATTGCTAAAATCCAAACTCTATCTACATTTATTCTGTTGTATCACTGCCTGACAAGTCTATTTTCTTGCAGAGTAGCAGATTTTCATCTTGAACTTGATCAGTATGTGATCTTGAGTTTGTTTGATTTCATTAAAACTTTATCGTCAAGGTTGCAGAGCAGAGCGTTACAGCACTCTAATTCAACGGACCATCTCTTTTTGATGGTGTTTTTACTATGAACATCTCTAACTCCATAGATCAGGCACCAAAGAAATCAAATGTAAATGAATGCTACTCAGTTAAGATTCCTGTGTTTCATGGAAGCAGTGATAGGACCTCTCTGCTACCTATAATAGTTCTGATTGGAGCCCCATGGCAACAGATTCACCTTCTTGCCAAAAGGCAGAAGAAGATTTATGTTGAGTTGTTTGATGTGGCTCCGCTGAAGTTGACTTTAAGGTAATTGAAATTCATATTGTGTTTCATGTGACTTTACTGTATGTTTATAACGTTGAACTTCTTCTATAGTTTCTCCAGCAGTCCCTGGTTGCTTCGAAATGGAGTGCTTACATCTGGAGAATCTCTTATACATGTAAGGCTATATGGTGGATGCTGGAACATATGATGATTTCATAAATGTTTAACTTATTTTTAGTTCTAACAGTCAGCTTGAGAAACCATCATAGAACAATACTGTTTTTATAATTTCGCTCAGCAACTTCATTTATATATGTGCTTCTCAAGTCATATGACACTGATTTTTGCAGAGGGGTCTTATGGCACTTGCTGATATCGAGGGAGCACAAATTCACCTTAAACAAGTAATCCTTTCACATCAGCTTGCTAGCTGGGAATCTGTTCAAGAGATACTTATCGAGCATTACACACAACAATTTCTTCATGAGATGTACAAGGTAATGTCTACACACCTTGACTATCTTCCCGTAGTTAACCACTAAAAAACTCTGGTCTTCCTTCAGTAGATGGGGAGATGGAGAATGAATTTATCTCCAAATAATCAGAGGCTAGAACATCCCAGTTCTGACTTCTGTATCAAAATCTACCAGAACTTCAGATTCCGGTACAATGTTGAGGAGCTGAATGTAGGCTTTGCTTGCACTATATATCTGATCATGCATCAATGTGAGCTTCAAAGAAATTACCACAAGCTTCAAGAAGTCTCATTATATTCAGTTTGTTGTTTAATGTGAAGGGGAGTGTAAAAAGAGGTTGTTCCAATATTAGTCAAAGTTGCTCAGTAGAGATTCTAAATATTGCCACCCATTTTCAACTGGTTTTCTGGTTTGAGGTGGAAAAGTTGCTGACGCTCTCTGTCTTTGCTGGCATGCCAGAGATTTTCCGGTCTGCTTTATGATTCCGTTAGCTGTGTGGAGTGGAGGGAAAGAGAAAGGGCGAAGGGCTTATCTTATGTATCAAACGTAAAACATTTTAATTGGGTAGATCAAAAGAAACTCGGAATGTTGTGGATAGACTGATCGATTAGCGATCCAAATTTAAAATAACTGATTTCAAGGTACCACCTAGATTGCATACTCTGTGTGCTGATTATCTTTTTGCACAGTTGTGTACAGAACTCTATGATGGTTTAGTCAAGAAAATTGTACCAGTACCTCATTGTTGGTCCCCATTTTTTCATCTTCATCGTTGTAACACCCAATGATGGCGTCTGGCTTTTTGCAAATTTCTCACTTTTTGCAAATTTCTCACTTTTTAAAAACAAAGTGTTGTAGTAATATCATACTTTTTGTTATGGTTCATGAAATAACCTTCCCTGTTATGTGTTTCTTGATGTTGATCTCATGGAAGTGTCCATTTGCTTATATTGGCAAATGATTTGAAGAGCCAAACAATGAATTATTAGCCAATCTGATAGTTATTCATTTGTAAACTGAATGACTTGTTTCTTGCAATAGTCTTTTGGTTTCCTTATATCGTCCTGGGAAATCTCAGCCTGATGATCTAGTTTATGGGGTTGAGTTAGGTCCAAGATCCATTTCTTCTCATTGTTGAAGTTTGGCAAAATGCCAAAGTCCCACATTGGTTGGGAGTTAAGTTTGGGGGGG